AGGAAGGACTCACTGGAGAAGAGCCTAATGCTGGGAATGATTGAGGGCAAAAGAAGAAAGGGACGGCAGAGAATGAGGTGGCTGGATGGAGTCACTGAAGCAGTAGGCGTGAGCTTAAATGGAATCCAGAGGATGGTAGAGGACAGGAAGGCCTGGAGGAATGTTGTCCATGGAGTCGCAATGGGTCAGACACAACTTCGCAACTAACAACAACAAAATTCAATCTAGCTATTCAAACAAATGGGTGAGTGCTTATTCTCTGAAGGGGAAAAAAAGATAGAGACCCATCTGCAAACCCTTATTGAAATATTCCCTATTTAACCATACAAAGTGAACAACAAAACCATTTCTGATATAAATACTTGGATATTCTTTTTTGCCAGGGTTTCTTCTAAGGAATATAACATTCTGATTCAGCCTAGCTCTCTCTCCACTTGCAAAGTCCAGTATTCATAGGAAGTCTAAAATTTAAGAAAGGTGCATTATCAGCTAAAAGAGACTAACATACATACATACATATATATATATGTATGTATGTATGTTAGTCTCTTTTAGCTGATAATGCACCTTTGGTTTTGACAGGTTCTGGAGAACCGGTAGCGGAAATTTTGAGCAGTTTGAAGAACTGGCTAATGCCACCTCTGGCTAGCCCCAGAGTGGGGAGGAAATGGGGATTTTGCAGTATCCTTCCCCTGGACTGGGATGGGAATGAAGATTTTGCAGTATCCTTCCCCTGCCATGCCCACCAAGCCACGCCCACCAAGCCACGCCCACAGAACCGGTAGTAAAAAAATTTGGATTTCACCACTGGTACATATACTACCTTATTGTAAGAAAACAGTAAAGGAATCTTGCAAGCTTGAAAGTACATTTCTCCAGACACCTTTACATACAAGAACCTAGGGAGGGTCCCAGCTGAGATGTTTGCCAACGCGCATTGTTTCTGAGGGCTGAGTTGTCTCTTATCTCACTGTTGCCCTGTCTGCTGCTTGGCGACTTTAAGACTTGTGGACTTCAACTCCCAGAATTCTGGGAGTTGAACTCTGGGAGTTGAAGTCCACAAGTCTTAAAGTTGCCAAGGTTGGAGACCCCTGCTCTAGACCATGACAAATTCCAAGAGAAATCATGGAACCAAAGTAATTCATTCCCTCTTTCTTGGAACCAAAGTACAGGTAGTCCTCTACTTAATACAGTTCATTTAGTGACCATTGCAACGGCACTGAAAAAAGTGACTTATTACCATTTTTTTTACACTTATGACTGTTGCAGCATCTCCATGGTCACGTGGTCAAAATTCAGGTGCTTGGCAACTAACTCATATTTGTGACGATTGCAGTGTCCCTGTGGTCATTGGATCACCTTTTGCCGACCTTCTGCTGAGCAAAGTTCATGGGGAAGTCAGATTCATTTAACAGCCATATTACTAACTTAACAAGTGCAGTGGGTTCACTTAAAAACTGTGGCCAAAAAGGTCATAAAATGGGACAAAATTCACTTAACAACTGTCTTGCTTAGCCACAGATATTTTGGGCTCAATTATGGTTGTAGGTTGAGGACTACCTGTAATTCGTTTCCTCTTTCTTTTTCTCTCTCTCCTGAAAATCTTCCAAAGAAAGAGACAATGCCTCCTTATGGCTCCTCATCCACCATCTTCCAGAAAGTTGACTAATTAATGAGTAGTTATGATCGGTCTCTCTTCTCCCCTTCTCTCCCTCAGGCTTGCCCCACAGAATCCTCCCTTATCCTTTTTACTTTTACTTTTTTTTTTTTTTTTAATTTGATTTATATGCCGCCCTTCTCCGGAGACTCAGGGCGGCTTACAGTGCGTTCAGCAATAGCCTTCATACTTTTGTATATTTATACAAAGTCAGCTTATTGCCCCCACAAACTGGGTCCTCATTTAACCTACCTTAGAAAGGATGGAAGGCTGAGTCAACCTTGAGCCTGGTAAGATTCGAACCAGCAGTAAATTGCAGGCAGCTGTGTTAATAACAGGGTGCTTTAAACCACTGTAGTACCAAGGCTTTTTACTTTTATTTGATTTATATACCGCCCTACTCCCGAAGGACTCAGGGCGGTGAACAGCCAACAATAAAATACATATATACAAAATTTAAAAAGCAGAATTAAAATCAAATTAAATAGTTTGGCCCAGACAGATTAAAACCCCAATCAATTTAAAACAAATTTAAACTTTGAGTATTAAAAATATTAAAAAATATTAAAATTATTAAAATTGTTTAAAAACTCTCCTTCTCTCCCTCAGGCTTGCCCTACAGAATCCTCCCTTATCCTCTCCCTCTTCTCTCCCTCAGGCTTGCCTCACAGAAACCTGTCTTTGCTGGCTGGGGAATTCTGGGAGTTGAAGTCCTCCAGGCTTAAAGTGGCCAAGATTGGAGACCCCTGCCCTAGAAGGTAAATATCATTGAGGGGACCTCGAATCTTTTACTGTGATAACTTTATTGACAATGTGCTTGTGTTGTTGTTGTTGTTGTTGTTGTTGTTGTTGTTGTTGTTGGAAGTCGGGTTCTTTCTTTTTCCTGGACGGCTAGGCAGGAAGGGCCCTTCCTTTTTTTTAAACTCACCCTTCTCCCTCCTTTCCCAGCCAGACCGTTGGACTTGCCAAAGTTCACTACCACAATATCAAAACAGGGAAAACTCGGGGCTTGGACTTCGGCAGTTACTGCTCAGAGGCTGGCTGGCTGGCTGGCTGGGGAAGGGGGGAGGGCGGAGAGGGAAGGTCGGGGTCTTCATGAACAGCTTCTAACATTCACAGGTCGGCGAGGGCTCGCCCGGCGTTGGTTCCTCCTTCAAGCCTGCGACGGCTGGGCTTTGTCCACCTTGAGTTTTTGGGCTGGAAGACCTGTTCGAAAGCGAGCCTTGGGATACAGCGCAAGGGCTTGGCGGAGAGAGTTGTGTGCTTTTTATATGTGTGTGTATGTGTGGGGGGGGGAACTATTTCAAACGATCCCCCCCTCCCCAATCCTCACTAAGCATCCTTCCTCCCCCCTCCCTCCCTGAAGGCTGCCTACAGAGCATCTGCAGTCTGAAAGTAAAAGCTTTTCATCCCCCCTTTCTCCATTCCCAGCGAGCTGCGCGATCGATAAGGGCAGCGCGGGAGGGGGCCGTGCCGCGGAGGCCGGAGAAGCCCCCTCCCTCAGCGGCCCCCAGCTAGCTCCAAAAGCGGAGAAACGCGGTGGGGGGGGGGAAGGGAGGGAGGGAGATCAGTTTGGGACTGGGGTGTGTGTGTGTGTGTGTGTGTGTGTGTGGCGGGCGGACGGAGGGGCGATCCACACAAAGGCAGAACTGGAACGAGAGTGTGGGGGGGGGAGGGAAACGGGGAGCGCACTGGCGGCTGCTGGGTTGCGGTGTGGACCTCAGGCGCGCTCCCCGGCCTGGATGGATGGAGCAATAAAGCAGAAACGCCCGTGATAGATGGACCGGGAGATTAGGCGCGATGGAGTGCCGTGATGTATGGCTTGCTGATACAGTCCGGGGCGGAGGGGCCGGCAGGCAAAGAACTGAGCGCCGTCCTCCCACCTCCGCCAACCTGTCCCAAGGCAGCCTTCCTACTTCTGGCTTTCTCTATTTGCCTGCCTGCCTGCCTGCCTTCCTTCCTTCCTTCCTTCCTTCCTTCCTTCCTTCCTTCCTTCCTTCCTTCCTTCCTTCAATGCAAATCTCTTTCCCTCTTCTTTCTCCAGAGACCAATCAATCATCTTTCCATTCATTCTTCCTTCCTTCCTTCCTTCCTTCCTTCCTCCCTCCCTTCCTTCCTTCCTTGCAAATCTCTTTCCCTCTTCTTTCTCCAGAGACCAATCGATCATCTTTCCTTCCATCCATCCATTCATTCCTTTCCTTCCTTCCTTCCTTCCTTCCTTGCAAATCTCTTTCCCTCTTCTTTCTCCAGAGACCAATCGATCATCTTTCCATTCATCCATCCATCCATCCTTCCTTCCTTCCTTCCTTCCTTCCTTCCTTCCTTGCAAAAACTCTTTCCCTCTTCTTTCTCCAGAGACCAATCGATCATCTTTCCTTCCTTCCTCCCTCCCTCCCTCCCTTATTTCCTTCCTTCCTTCGTTCCTCCCTCCCTCTCTAACCCTCCCTCCCTCCCTCCCTTCCCTCTCCACACTCACTTCCCACCAATAAATCTCAGCTCTTGCCCAACACTTCCAGCCCGCCAACTCCGGGTGGCTCAGCCTCCCGTTCCCAACCAGTAGCGGGCGACGTAGCTCAAGCCCGCCCCGGAGGGCCCCAGGTTGGGGACGGCTGGCGTCGAGTCTGCGCTTGGCTCAACCTTCCAGCAGCCAGAATTGATTTTTTTCTTCTCCAGCCGCCTTCCCCGAGCCCCCGCCGCCTCTTGTCTCTCCATCTCCGCCTCCTTCGCCCCCCGGGCGCTGCCTTCAACTTTCCCATTTTTCTCGCGCGAGGTGGAGGCAGAGAGCCCGGCCGCTGCTGGGGCACCGGAGCCGAAGAGGGAGCCCGGGCGGGCGAGGTTGGCAGGTGGGCGCTCGGTCCTCTCCAAGCGGAGGCGGCAGCGGAGGGTCCGAGGCGCGCGGGCGCGGGCCTGTGGCTTCGGGGGCGCGCGTCCGTGGGCGCGGGCGCGCGTCCGTGAGGAGGACAGCCCGGTGCCGAGAGCCGTGACGTCAAGGCGAGAGGGAGGCAGAGCTGAGAGGCAGCGCGGCGATTCGCAGCCCCGGCGAACGTTGGAGGAGGCGGAGGCGAGCAGGAGGGCGAAGCGAGAGGCAGGAGGGGAGCAGCCGCCGCCGCCGCTCGCGTGTCCAGCTGTCGCCGCCGCCGCCGCCGCTGCTCCCGCTGTCGCTGCTGTGGCTCTGGCCGCCGAGGCTGCGGGCGTCGGGCCCCGCGGATGGCGCTCCCTTGAGATGGCTGGCCAGCTGGCTTAAGGCGGCGGGGCAGGAGGAGGCGGAGATCCGGAGGGGGCGGGCGGGAGGGGGGGGGGGGGGGGGGGGGGCATCGGCTGGCAGGGGGAGACCGAGCGAGCCATGGAGCTGAACCTCGACGGACTGGGCAACCTCCACCAAGCCGGGGAGCTCTTGAGCCCCGCCGGGGCGCACGCCAGGCAGCCGCCGCCTCCCCCGCCGCCGCCTCCCCCGCCGCCGCCGCCGTCCACCCACCGCAACTTGGTCTCCTCGCACGGCCGGCCGGCCATGGTCTCCAGCATGGCTTCCATCCTGGACGGGGCGGGCGACTACCGGGCCGAGCACAGCCTGGGCGGCCCGCTGCACCCGGCCATGAGCATGGCCTGCGAGTCCCCGTCGGGCATGAGCACTTACACCACGCTGACGCCGCTGCAGCACCTGCCGCCCATCTCCACCGTCTCGGAGAAGTTTCCCCACCCGCACCACCACCACCACCACCACCACCATCACCACCACCCGCCGCACCAGCGCCTGGCCGGCAACGTCAGCGGCAGCTTCGCCCTCATGCGCGAGGAGCGCAGCCTGGCCGCCTCCATGGGCAACCTCTACGGCCACTACCCCAAAGACATGCCGGCCATGGGGCAGCCCCTCTCCCCGCTGGCCAACGGGCTGGGCGGCCTCCACAACGGGCAGCAGTCCCTGGCTCCCTACGGGCCCGGCGGCCACCTGGCCGGAGACAAGCTGCTCTCCCCCAACGGCTTCGAGCCGCACCTGCTCTCCCGCAGCGAGGAGCACCTGGCCCGGGGGCTGGGCGCGCCGGGCGCCGGCATGATGCCCGCCCTCAACGGCCTCCACCCGCACGCCCACCCGCACGCCCAGGCCAACGGCTCGCTGCTGGCCGAGCGGGAGCGGCAGGGCTCGGCTTCGGGCTCGGCGGGCGGCGGGGGCGGCGGCGGGGCCGGCCAGGTGGAGGAGATCAACACCAAGGAGGTGGCGCAGCGCATCACGGCCGAGCTGAAGCGCTACAGCATCCCGCAGGCCATCTTCGCCCAGCGGATCTTGTGCCGCTCGCAGGGCACCCTCTCCGACCTGCTGCGGAACCCCAAGCCCTGGAGTAAACTCAAGTCCGGCCGGGAGACCTTCCGCAGGATGTGGAAATGGCTGCAGGAGCCCGAGTTCCAGCGCATGTCTGCCCTCAGGCTGGCCGGTAAGGGGGCCGGTAAGGCGGCGGGGAACGGAGGCGCGCGAGGGCGGGCTCAGCCGGTTTGGCAGGCGGGGACGCAGGAAGCGAGGAGCGGGGCAAGGCGGCAGCTGCGAGGGGGGAAGGAGCGGAGGAAGGGAAGGCGGCGGGGCGCGTTGCTTTGCGGGTCAGGAACCGGGGAGGCGAGGTAGCCCAGGTGCCCAGGACATTTCAGCCTGCGAAGTCTTTGTTTTCGCGCTTCAGCCTCTCCAAGGCGCATGTTTCTGTGTGTGTGTGTGTGTGTGTGTGTGTGTGTGTGTGTGTGTACAGTATACCGATCCACGGGGCTCACACCGCGCATCGGGATCGATTTTTATTTTTTGCCGGAGCTCCATCAAAATCTTCCTTTCCACCGCACGTCCCTTCGTTCTTTTCCTCTTTCCGTCCGGGGGTCTCCCGAGGCGCTCGGCGTTCTTCGCCGCGGAGAAGCATCTGAACTCGCAAGTGTCAGGCGCTGCCCAGCTGAGCCAAATTGGTTCGTCCGCGGACTGGTCAGCAGATATGCGTGTCCATTCCACTCGCCCACCCACCTACCCACCCACCCAAAAATCTCCCGCTATTTTAAAACGCGAGCGGTTTAAAGATTAGCTTGCCCTGCGTATTTGGAACCCGTTCCGTTCTGCCTTGGGATGGCGGGAGTTGAAAAGCAACCCGCCTAGAATGAGCCAGGTTAGGGAAAAAACGGCTGTACATTATTGGGCATAAATATACGCATAATATGCCCTACGGGTGTAGGCACAGACGCGCCTAACAATACGTGGAGGCGTCCCTACTAAAACCCCCTGCCAGGCGAAGAGATCGTCTTTGAACGGAAGGTTCTGCCTGTGTTTTCCATCCACGCATCCTTCCCTCCATTCGAGATTCTTCTTTTTTCCCCCTCTCTAGCTTGAGTTCCACAAAATACCCTCCGAGGGAGGCTCGAACGTGGCTGGATCGCCCGACGGTTCCAGGTCTCGTGGGAACCCGGCCATTGTCTTAGACTTAGCAGGTTGTGCGAACTAGGAAGCCACTTCGAGCCCGGTTTCTTTGTTCGGACACCGCGCGCTCTTGCCGCGGCAGCTGCAGTTTGTTGTGTTTGGGTGAAACCGGCTTTTAAGATTTAGCGCGGGATCTACCAACTGTGTGTGTGTGTGTGCGTGCGTGCGTGTGTGAGGTGTGTATGTGTGTGTTTTGTGCATGGTGCGTGTGCGCGCGCGCTTGTAATTACCCCAATAGGTTGCTCTAGAAAGACTTCCTTGGTGTGTGTGTGTGTGTGTGTGTGTGTATCAGTCCTTACAGGTTTGTGGCGCGGCTCTTTCACACAGCAGCTTCGCTCGCCAAGTAAGCGGCAGGATCTCGGCTGATCTCGGCTACTTTTTAAAACTTATTTCAGGTGCTGCTGGGTTTAGCGTTCGTTTCCTTCAGGGTGAGCGGGTGTGTGTGTGTGTGTGTGCGCACCCTGAACACCTCTTTAGACATCCGCCTTTGCCAAAAGGGGAATCAGAGTGCCCTGTGTACAACCGATTCCCACGCCCACTTATTTGGGAAAGGAAAGGAAAGGAAAGGAAGGAAGGAAGGAAGGAAGGAAGAGAAAGAAGGAAGGAATGAAAAAGAAAGGAAGGAAGGAAATAAGGGAGGGAGGGAGGAAGGAAGGAAAGAAAAATGAAGGGAGGAAGGAAGGAAGGAAATAAAGGAGGGAGGGAGGGAGGGAGGAAGAAAGAAAGAAAGAAAGAAAGAAAGAGAAAGAAGGAAGGAAGGAAAAAGGAAGGAAGGAAGGAAGGAAGGAAGGAAATAAGGGAGGGAGGGAGGGAGGAAAGAAAGAAAAAGGAAGGAAGGAAGGAGGGAGGAAGGAAGGAAGGAAGAAAAGAAAAAGGAAGGAAGGAAGGGAGGAAGGAAGGCAGGCAGGCAGGCAGGCAGGCCAGAGTTAATTTCTAGTAATTTTTTTAAAAAAAAATATCTCTGGATGAAAGAGAAGATGGGCATCCCTTCATTTATAGTAATAATATTTTGTGTGGTGATGCTTTGGTTATTAATTGGGACCTCTACGCATTTTTAAGAGAGAAAGAGAGACAGAGAGAGACAGAGAGGGAGGGAGGGAGAGAGAGAGAGGTGGTTTGTTGGGGGGAAGAGGCTGACTCTGTAAACCGCGTAGAGAGGGCTGCAAAAGCACTACGAAGCGGTATAGAAGTCGAAGTGCTATTGCTATTAGTAGCTTTATTTTTTAAAAAAAAATCCACATTCCACTATTATTAGGTGTGAAAGGTGCGTGTGGGAGAGAGAAGGAATGAAAGGGAATACCTGGATTGGGGTGGGGGGTGGGGAGGGGTCCTCGGGGCTCTCTGCGCTTGGTTCTTTTCTTGCGGACCTTTCATTTCCCTAAACAAGGTGACACCACCAGTGCTAGACAACGGATGATCTTCTCCGGGCATCTCCGGGTCTGAAATTTCTCGCCTTTTCTCTGCCTTGGCCCAGACTCCAATCTTGCCTTCGGCCAATCTTGCTCTCTCTACTTTAGGCAGGAATTGGAAAAAATAAATAAATAGGAGATCCTTTAAAGCAGAGGTCTCCAACCTTGGCAACTTTAAGCCTGGCGGACTTCAACTCCCAGAATTCCCTGGCTGGGGAATTCTGGGAGTTGAAGTCCGCCAGGCTTAAAATTGCCAAGGTTGGAGACCCCTGCTTTAAGGGATTCTGAATCGCAAACCCAATTGATTACTTTTGCTCCCTCCTCTCTAACAATGATCAGGTCGTCGGAAAGTGGCTGGATAGGCCTATTGTTTGTTCACACCTAAGGTATACTGCCCCTGAACATGGGGGGTGGGGGTGGGCTCCACTGCCTTATCATACCTCATCCTGATGGGCAGACTGTTCTGCTCTCCCACCTACCCCGGGCTTTCTAAAGCCATAGGGCCACTTTGGCTCCTGGGTAGAGGAGCAGGGTCGCCTTGATTCCGGTCTGGTCGGGAGAGCGAGTAGCTAGCCCTCCTTTTGTCCCCTCTTTGAATCTGTTGCCAGATCGATTCCGAGGATGAGACGGAATTCTTGGGGAACGGGAGCAGGAAATACGCTTCCCCACCCCCCACCCCCCACCCTCCGTTGTCATTTGGGAGCCTAGAGTTCAAAAGTGGGGGCTCTCTGGGGATCCAGTCCCTTCCTCTTTCTTGACAGAACCTCCCCTCCCTCCTCCAATGCAGCGATCCTCCCCCCTGTTTTAGTTGCTGTTTTGGGGGGCAGGGGGGATTTTGAGCAGGGGGAGGATGGCTTATCTCTTTCTTTCCTACAATCCTTGATTCCTTCCTTCCTTCCTTCTTCTTCTCCGTCTTCTCTTTTCCTCTCTCTTTTTTATCTGTATATCCATTCTCTTCACACTTTCATAACCTTTCCCCCATCTTTTCTATTATTTCTTTTCCCCCCCCTAACCAACTCTCTTTTCTTTTTTTTCCTGTTTTTTTCCTTCCTTTCTTCCTTCCTTCCTTCCTTCCTTCCTTCCTTCCTTCCTTCCTTCCTTCCTTCACCCCCTCCTTCCTTTGTTGCCCCCCTGCAAAAAAACGGGAAAAACCTGACCAATTTTGCTACCCACAAACACACCAGGCCTAACCACACACACAGCCCTGCAGTCCAAAGGCCACCTCTGACCTCTTCTTTCCCTGCCTCCCTCCCCACCCCATCCCCCATCATTCTCCCTTTCCTCTCCCTCCAGGTAGATAAGCTTCATCCTTCATGCTCCTTCCTGCAGGTCTCTGCAAGTTGTGGGCTAATGAGCATTGACCACACCTGTGGTGGCCACCATCTTGACTTGTTTGACCACAGCATGCAGACACTCCAGATTTTATCAATGGCAATGCAGATCAATTCATTCTCCTTTTCTTTCTCCCTCCCTCCCTCCCTCCCTCCCTCCCTCCCCCTCCCCCCCTCTCTCTATATGCAAGTTTTGGTGTATTTGGGTCTTTTCCCCTGTAAGATTGATAGTATCCTGGCCACGTTTCGACGAGGTCCCACTCGTCATCTTCAGGCTGGTGTCTTCGGCTTCGTGCTTGTGCGAGAAACCTCGTCGAAATGTCGCCAAGATACTATCAATTTTACACGGGAAAAGACCCGAATATACCAAAACTTGCATACCTCTACCCGTGAAAATCTACAAAAACATATATATATATATATATGTATACATCTATCTATCTATCTATCTATCTATCTATCTATCTATCTATCTAGACATGTATGTATACACACATGGCAGGAAAGTCAAAATTGGCTAAAAGGAAACAACAGCAACATGGAAGAGGAAACCAATTCCACCCAGGAGCTGATAGAAGAGCCCCTTCTGTGTGATTTCATCGAGGGAAATCTCATCTGGGCTCATTTTGGGGAATCAGGGAGCTCTTCTCCTTGACTCTCAGTCTTTAAGCCATAAAATTCAGTGTTGGCTTTATAATTGAATTACCATCTTACCTATCAATGGGAGAAAAACAATATTTTAATACCATTATTAGGAACCTTTTATCTCCTCTTGGCTGGCAATAGTTCTCTCTCCTTGCCCCCAGTTTCTCATGCCTTGGCCTTCAACATTCCCAGCTATCACTGTCACATTTTCTTGTGGCAGTGAGTTCCGTAGTTTATTTTTTACTTTTGTCCTTATTCTCTTCCTCCTCCTCCTCCCCTTCCTTCCTTCCTTCCCCTTCCTTCCTTCCTTCCTTCCTTCCTTCCTTCCTTCCTTCCTTCTTTTGTATACTCAAGGTAGCACATATAATCATTATCTTCTTCTACTGTAAGGAAAAACACATTTTCTCCCCACTGCTCATAAATGCCCTGTTTTAAACACAAGCACTCCAAAATATACACCTGAGAGTACTGTAACTGTGACACAACATCATCACACTATTGTTATTACACACCCTCACACATGAGTTGTGTGGCTAATCAGGCACCAACCCAGTGTCTGCATTCTTATAACTTCTTAAGTTATAAGAATGGATTTGGATTTGGAT